CGCCCCTCCCTCGGCCGCTCCTCCCTACGGCTGGGAATTTCCCGCTAGGGTGACGGCTTGGTGACGTCGGACTCAAAAAGGCCGGTCTCCCCCCCCACGCTTGCTGCGGCTGCCCTGTGCTGTACGCTTGAGGGGAAGGGAGGGGAGGGATGATCTCAGCGGGGATACACCTACCTACAGTAGCAGCAAGCTGTCCCCTCCCCCCTCCGTGCTACAGAGCTACATGCAGTGCCCACACGCCGCGGTGTAGCGATCTGCTGGCTGCTCCCCGCCCCCAACCTGCTTCCTCCAGCTGCACCTCCTCGCATGCCAGGCTGACCCTTGCTTGGCTGCTAGAGTGTAACATACGCCTCGCATGCCAGCACTAGCTGGGGCGCTGTCCTCTGTTGCCACTGGCAAGACAGGTTCAGGCGGTTCCTGATTCACTGTCAGCTTGTGGGGCAGTGTGAAAGTGCCCTCTCTGCTGGGCATGCACAGATTTTCCTCTTCTGCTTCTATCTCACACAAATACACACAGCCCCTCTTCACACCGTACAGGTACCCCATATATAATTATAATTCACACACACGGGGTAGCCACATTGATACCAAGAGACGTGCTTTTGAAATATCTAAAAGTGCGAACCTCAGACGGGACAACTTACAACTTAAAATACAACGAATAGTCTTACAGCACCTTAGAGACTAACAAAACATGTAGATGGTATCATGAGCACAACCCACATCTTCAGATGAAACACAGTAAGTCAATTCAACAGTAATCTATGGGCATGACAAAATTCACAATGTTGCCTATGTGTAAAACAAGCACAAGATGTCCAGGCAATGGTCCCACTTGAGTGCAATGAATTACACTCTCTCACACTGCTGCAGTATCAGTATCAAGCAGCTCCATAATCATGGTTGCAATTGAATGACCAATTGAGCTCCTTATTTCCCAGACTATAATAACCAACATTAGTAGATTAAATATGATATTTTTAGCAAATTTGACAATTGATTCCTCAATTGTGACATACTAAAAACAAAGCTGCTCTCCGAGTTACGAATAAGTTACGGATCAACACTTGGTCCGTAACTCAAAGTGTTCATAACTCGGATCCCAGAGAGTTACATGGTGACCGCACTGTTCGTAAGCGCAGATCGCCATTCGTAACTCGGATCCGTATTTATGACTGCTTTGGTTGTAAGTGCGGATGGTCGTAAGTGGAGGTGGTCGTAACTCCGGGAGTGGCTGTAATTCAAGATTTTAACATTTTTTTCATGCCTGCCCCAGTTTAAGCAGTTAACCAGTTAACCATAATATTTTTCCAGTTAACAGATTAAATGGGATTTTACATCCCTAACTCAGTCCTACTACTTTAATTAGTTGAATTGGAACGGTTTACAGACATCCCTTGAACTTTGCAGAAATCTAGATTCAGGTGCCATACTGGCTCCAACCTCCATGATTTGCAGAGAGGTCAATGTTGAGCGAGTCTAAAAGAGTAAAAGAATCCCTGCTCACAGATTTTTTTTTTTTTTTGGTGACGTGAGGATTACTTTGCACTGAGCTAGCAACAAGTTTTTAGCATTTAAATCTTTTAATTGAGAATGTTTCAATCATACATAATGGCAAGTAATAAACAACAAATCTAAAGTAACATTCTTGAACAAGACACATTAAAAATTAGTACAGTAACGATGGCTTGAAAATGTACTGAAGAATAGCACTGAACTGATATTTTCTGTCATGTTTCTTCCTATCTCGGCCTTTTTTATTTTAAACTAGGCATATTAGGATAATACATTAAACACCAAAACAGGAAATCATATTTTTTAAATATTTAAATTCAAACATACCAATTTATGACCTGAAGTAAGAAGGATTGGACAAATTGTAGCATAATATTATTTTCATCATTTTGTAGGCCAATGCAACCCAATGGAAGTAAATGAGAATCTGCCTACATCAGGTATGAATTTGGTTCCATGTTTCTAGACATGCTCTCCCTATCACATTGTACACTGGGCTAAAAAAGCACTTTTCCTCCCTAAATATCCGTAGTTGACTTTTCCTGTACTAGCAGGTATGTAAAATTAGAGACTTTTTTTCCCTTTACAAAACAAAATTAAAATTTGCAGGCTTCTGTCTCAATAATATTATCTAAATTCCTAGCATCAGTACTTTAGCTGGTTTAAATCAACAGAGCTCCTCTGCTTCTAGAGAACTGTGCTTTTTACACCTGCCAAGGATCAGGACAAGTATGTTATGTATTGCACATCTATTCAATTGTTAGCATGGTAGGCTTTATTACATATGCACTGGGTGTAGTACAAATTAATTTATTAAACTGTATACATAAAAACTAAATAAAGAAATCCTTTGGATTAGGCTGTAAGATTATCCAAATCTCTATTCTTTTGCTCCTGATTAAAGGTTTGAAAGGGATGAATGGCTAGATCATTGAAATTCAGTGGTCCACAGATGTAACAAACATTGTTTGTATATTTATTGCTTGGAACAGGAATACATATTGATTTTTTCCCCCAAAAAATCAAAACTTCAGATGTATTGTACTTGTACAGCACCTTTCACACATATTGCATCCTAAAGCTCTACAGGGTTAGGAGTGGACTTTATAAGATGCTGATTGAATTAAGCACCTAAATGCCTTTGAGGATTTGGACCTTAGATACTAACAGGTGTCAAACAAATACCCCAAGAAAGGTATATTTACATGGGAGCCATAGTTTAGATTTTCTAACACAAGTCTGATTTTACAGAGAGAAAAAGAGAGAGATTTGGAAGTGATTTGGATAA